CACAACCCTACCATAGTCATTCTCCAAGAGACAAAGCTGGAAAAGATTGACCGCCTCACTATTAAATCTCTTTGGAGCTCTCGGGATATCGGATGGACAGCTCTTGATGCATCTGGCACATCATAGAACATCACCATGGGTCTACACACAATAACCATCCTTATTAATCTTTCTGATGGCTTCAATTTTTGGCTTATAGGGGTCTACGGGCCCACAAGAACAGAAGAGAAAGCTGGTTTCTGGAACGAACTGATGGACCTCTCGTTTCTTAGCTCGAAATTTTGGCTATTGGGGGGTGATTTTAACACCATCCGATGGTCACAAGAAAAATCTTCTTATTGCCGACCGAATGGAAATATGAATGGCTTCAATTCCTTCATTGAGAGAGCAGAGCTACAGGATCTTCCACTTACAAACGACCTTTACACTTGGTCGGATTTTGATTGACAGGTTCCTTGCCACAAGAGATTTCCTTTCAAAGTTTCAAAATGTCGCAGTTAAGCGACTTAACTGTTCGACATCAGATCATTATCCCATCCATCTCTCTTTTGGATTAGCAAAATGGGCCCAACCCCATTTTGGTTTGAGAATGTTTGGTTACAGCACCAAACCTTTAAACCTCTTGTTGAATATTGGTGGCAAAATACCCCCTTACGAGGTTGGCCAGGGCATGACTTTATTCAAAAACTAAAGGAGCTAAGATCAGTTACTAAATTGTGGAACAAATCCACTTTTGGTAGCAAACCAAAAAGGAACCGATCTTTATAAGGCTATTTGGAAAACAAAGAGCCCGAATAAGGTCGGGTTTTTTGTTTGGATCATCATTAATGGAAGATTGAATACGGATGAAGTTCTTCAAAGAAGGCTCTCGGTTTTGTGTCTACAGCCATCAATATGTATGTTTTGTCAAGAAAGCAGGGAGAATCTGATCCATATATTATTCCAATGTCCTTATGCATTGCACTGTTGGTTCTTGTTATTTAAAGAGTTCAATCTCTCCTGGGTTTTTAGCAACATAACAGTGGATAATATCCTTCAACTACTCCTAGGCCCAATCCTATCTTCTCAAAGTAGCTTGCTGTAGTCAAATGGTGTCAAAGCCTTGCTCTATGAGATTTGGTATGAAAGAAATCTCAGAATTTTCAAGGATCGTCGCAAATCTCCATTGGATCATTTCAGTTTGGCTAAATTCAAATCTTCACAGTGGAGCTCTTTGTCACCTTTGTTCGAAAACTTTTCTCCCTCATTTATTTGTTACAATTGGGGAGCTTTTACTTTATCTCTTAATGTTTGAGCTTATCTTGTTTTTTCCATTTACTTGTAATTCTCTTTTCTTTTCACTCTTTCGAGAGTTTGTATCTTTGAACATTTTCATTACTTTTCATTAATTCAATGAGAAGCTTGTTTCTTGTTAAAAAAAAAAAAAATCCACTTTTGGTAGCATCAACCAGCAAAAGAACCTCCTACTATCTGAGCTCGCTATCTTGGATAATATAGAATAAGAAAAGGTTTACTACACCCTACACAACTCACACAGAGGAGATCCATCAAAGCAATATTGCTTTCTACCGTGGCCAAAGAAGAGATTCTATAGAGACAAAGATGCAAAGCCAATTGGTTATAAGAGGGAGATCTAAACACTTCCTTTTTCCACAAAATTGTGGCGGCAAAGAGGAGGAAAAGCACCATTATAGAAGTTCTTTCTTCAAAAGGCACCAGCCTCCTGGGGGAGGATGAAATTGTTAATGAATTTCTTTCTTTTTTTGACAAGTTATACACAAAGAAGGAAGGCACTCGTTTCCTCCCCTCCCCCCTCAATTGGAACCCGATAAATGCACAACAAAGTACTGATTTAGAGAGACCTTTCACTGAGGAGGAAATCTAGAAAGCTGTGAATGAATTGGGAACAAACGAGACGCCTGGATCGAATGGCTACACGGCCGAATTCTATAAAATTTTTTGGAACACTGTCAAACCCGACATCATGAGAGTGTTCCAAGATTTTTTTAAGAATGACATTATTAATGCAAGCCTCAATGAAACATACATTTGTCTCATCCCAAAAAAGGTTGATGCAAGGAAGGTTGGAGATTTCCGCCTCAACAGTCTCATTTCGTGCCTCTACAAGATTATTGCTAGAGTGCTCTCTGAAAGACTTAAAGGTTTGCGGCCCCACACTATTACAAGAGAGCAATATGCTTTTCTAGCCGGAAGACAAATCCTAGATGCTTCTCTAATAGCCAAAGAGCTCATTGAAGAATGAGATAGGAAAAAGAGAAAGGGAGTGGTCATCAAACTCGATATTGAAAAAGCTTTCGACAAAGTTGATTGGGATTTCCTCGATGAGGTCTTTACTGCCAAAGGTTTTGGCCACACATGGAGACGGTGGATTCGGGGTTGTCTCTCCTCTGCAAATTACTCCATCATTATTAATGGTCGTCCCCAAGAAAAATTACTAGAATCTAGGGGTCTTAGACAAGGTGACCCACTCTCTCCCTTTCTCTTTTATCATGATTGTTGATGCTTTTCGTAGACTAATGACCCATGCTGCAAGCAACAACCTCATAAAAGAGTTTGACATTGGAAATCACTCCTTGGCCATCCATCACCTACAATTTGCTGATAATACCATTCTCTTCTCACCATTTGATGATTCCTCCCTTATCAATATGTTTAACATCATTAGACTTTTTGAGGAAGCATCCAGACTCAACGTAAACCACCAGAAATCAGAGATCTTGGGGATAATCTTGAGGAAGCTGATCTTAATACACTAGCCACCAAGTTTGCTTGCAAAATTGGCTCCTGGCCAAACACATACCTTGGCTTACCCCTACATGGAAAGCATGGATCTATCTCCTTTTGGGATCCATTGATTGACTTCAATCATGGAAGAATTCCTATCTCTCCAAGGGAGGCAAACACACTCTCATCCAAGCCAGCCTAACAAACCTCCCCACCTATTTCCTTCACTCTTCCCATTGCCAACAAAGGTAGCACTCTCCTTGGACAGCATCTTATCTAGCTTTCTTTGGAAGGGTAATAGAGAGACAAAGGGACTACACCTAGTCAAGAGAGACATTATGCAAAAACCAATTCATGAAGGAGGCCTCGGTATCACTAAAATGAAAACTAAAAATCGTATCCTTCTCGCTAAATGGATTTGGAGGTATTTAAAAGAGGAATCAGCTCTTTGGAAGGATATATTGAAGCCAAATATGGCAAAGCCTCTTGGAACCAGCAACCAAATTCTATATCCAATCCCACTGCAAAAGGACCATGGAAAACCATATTAAAAACACAGAATCTGATCTATGAGCGGCTGGCATTTATTATTGGTGATGGTAAGTCTATATCCTTTTGGAGGCAACCTTGGCTGTCTGATGAGCCCCTACAACATACCTATCCTCTCCTATTCTTTCTATCTTCGAAAAAAGATGCTCCCATATCGGACCTGTGGACAGCAGAAACATCATGTTGGAATCTGAGTTTAAGAAGGAACCTCAAGGATACTGAAATCACGGAATGGGTAGCCCTTTGTCATCAGCTCACAGATGCTCACTTGTTTACATAAATAGATTCTATCAGATGGAGACTAGAGCCAAATGGATCCTTTTCCACCATATCACTCACTAGAGACCTCACCCAACACCGTCCAGCAGCCCCAAACAGTCTCTACAAAGCAATCTGGAAAGATAGTTGTCCAAAGAAAGTGAGATTCTTCCTTTGGGAACTTAGCCACCGAGCCATCAACACTAACGACAAGCTTCAAAGACGGCTCCCCTACCTGATTATCTCCCCACAATGGTGCTCCATCTGCAAAGCTAACTTGGAATCACAACAACACCTCTTTGTCACTTGCACCTTTGCAGCAAATTTTTGGAGATCCATCCTCAACACCTTTGATGGTCCACAGCCCTACCAATTGACCCCCCTCTTCTCATAGAATACACTCTCGTCGGGCACCCCTTCAAAACTAAAAAGGCTATCCTATGGATGAATTTTGTTCGAGCTTTCCTATGGACTATTTGGGGAGAACGGAACCAAAGAACCTTCAATGATAAACCACAACCTTATGAGAGGTTTTTTGAAACTATTGTTTACAAAGTTGTCACTTGGTGTAAGAACACTCCTTTTTTTCATCATGATAGTTACACTTCTCTATTAGTTAATTGGAAGTGCTTCATGTAACCCTTCTTAAGGGCCTTTTGTAATTTCATACATCAATGAAATTGTTTCTTTCACAAAAAAAAAAAAAAAAAACTGGGGTTGAAGGTTGATCACGTACAATCATAATGATTCTTTTTCAAAATATGATGTATGCACTTTTGAGATATGTTAAATCCTTTGCATCAAGGGAAGTTTTGTATTTGTATTGTATTATGTAGTGGGTGTTTGAATGGAGGTTAGAAAGGAGTCAAAAGAAAGGGGTACTATCTGAGCTTTTATGGAGGATGTTGTTTTTAAGGGCAGGGGTGTTACCAAATTGTGATTTGGTTTCGGGTTTTAAGCTTTTAATTATATCTCCAAATAGGAATTTGCACTTTTTTCTTTTATCAATGAAAGGTATTGTTTCCTTGTGAAAAAAAAATCGTGGGCACAATTGGGTTTTAAGTATGGTAGTTGTTACAATTGCACTCATAGACTTTCAATTATAAAAATTCAACTCTCAAACTTTATAAATGAAAAAATTAGACCCCTAAACTTTCAATGGTAAAAAATAAACCTTTAAACTTTCATTAATATGACAATTGCACCACCTAAACTATCAATTGTAAAAATTAACTAGCTTTGAACGATAATGGAAAGCCTTTTGTAATTACTAGGAACTAGTAACTATACTCACCAGCATGTCTTCAATATGTCTTGCATTCATGAGGGGCTGCATGTCTAACTGAACCACAGAGCAGATGTAGGATAAAGAAATGTACCTTACCTGCATTTATGTTGTAGAATATTGACTCATAAGTAGTGCTTCATTTGCTATTTTGCTTTACTGTATCGACATTGTTAGTTGCAAAAACTCCTGGATTCTTCCATGTGATGATTTAATAAAATTTTATTATGCATAGGAGTTTCAATCATGTGCAATTGCCATTATATGAGGTTAAAATTGTCTTTCTGTAGCAATCTCAGATTCCAATATTATCTTTCCTTTTTTTCTTTCTCTTAAGACAGAGTTTGCCCCAAGAAATGGTTAATGCATGCCATGTAACTCATGTCCATTTCTTATATTTTTTTGCTTCTTGGTAGAAAGATGGCAATGATGCACATTTTCTTTCTACAGTTGCTAAAAAATCTGGTTCAAAGGAGAAAAACGGTAAAGTCATGGATGAAAAAAGCATCTGGTCTCAAGCTCCAGCAACTTAACATTCAGCAACAGGCACTGAAGCTTACTGCAAACAGGTATTTTTCTGTTATGTTTATTTTTAAACCTTCCACTCCATACATCTTATACACTAATCATCTATTTCATTGTACACTTACATGATCTTGTGACGGTGATGCAGTATGTATGGATGTCTAGGGTTTCCTAATTCAAGGTTTTATGCAAAACCACTAGCAGAGCTTATTACTTCACAAGTAAGGGAATTAGGTTGCTTATGCTGCAGTTCTAATTTTTGCCAATTATGCAAAAGAGCAACCTCCCATCTTCAGTCTTCCAGCCAAAAAAAAAAAAAAGAGACTGCATAAACTTGCATGTAACTTACTATTTTACAGGGAAGAGAAATACTGCAGAGCACCGTTGATCTTGTTCAGAATAAGTTTAACCTAGAGGTCATAGTTGAACACTGAAATTCACAAACTATATAGATTTCCCAACGTATGTGCATAATCTTAGAGCACATCCAAGTACTTTGGTCTCATGAATAGATTATCTTCCACATGACAGGTAATTTATGGCGATACTGATTCAATAATGATCCATAGTGGACTGGATGATATTGGCAACGCGAAAGCAATTGCAGCGAAAGTTATACATGAGGTGGGGTTGTGCGATCTGATTGAATTTTTCAAAATATTTATCGTATAAATTATGTTGGAAACTCCCATGATTTAAGATCTAAGCCTAATAAACTGCTCTTTCATTTTTGTATCGAATTTAGCTATCTAATGTATAAGAATGTATAGTAATTAAAAAAATGTTCAACACCTTATCTGGGTTTTGAAAATTTCTCTCGTGCAATACTAGAAAATAGTTTTAAGTTCCATCTAAACCATTCGTAATATACTGGAACGCTTGTATGTCACAACACTAACAAGTGCCTATGGTGTTGATCAGACAACTGAAGAATTTTGATCCATATAAAATATCCTTTGCAAATCTTTCCTCATCGTCTCAAGTCACAATGCGAGGTATTTTTTCCTGTTTTGCTTTTCCTAGGTCAACAAAAAATACAAGTGTTTAGAAATTGATCACGATGGTCTGTACAAGAGAATGCTACTTCTGAAGAAAAAGAAATATGCAGCTGTAAAGTTGCAGTTGAAGGATGGAATGCCATATGAGGTGACTATGCTTTACTTCCATTTGCTCTATTGGTTCTTTAAGGAAATAAATGGGAGCTAGAGCACTGTCAAAGTTGACTTCATATGTACAGGTTATTGAGCGAAAGGGTCTTGATATGGTTCATCGTGATTGGAGTTTATTATCAAAGGAATTAGGTGATTTCTGCTTGAGTCAAATATTGTCTGGAGGGTATGTAACGTTTCCGATAGAGAATTTTATTTGTTATTCTAAATGGTACATCATCATTTAGAAACTGCATTAATTTTTCTCTTAACTCCCCTTTTTCCTCATGCTTATAGGTCATGTGATGATGTTATTGAGTCAATACACGACTCTCTTAGGAAGGTAAAAATTGTACCTTTCATGTTGCAACTTGTGAATACTTTATTCTTACAATCAAGAAAGAGTTTAGCTTGATGCTCAGAGAGTTCCTACAATTTAAACCAGGCCGCGGGCTAAAATTGGCAATGATCGTCAAACGACTCTGCAAAATGTGGACACGTAAACAAATGACATCCCGCATGTGCACACACTAAAAACTGAAAGAAATAAAATAACCAACACTGCTCAGTACAGGGGAAAAATAATAGAAAAATGAGCCTTTTGAGGTATGTAATTATAGATAATTATTTGGGATTAAAGGTGTGCAAATTTTACACAGATACAAGATGATATGAGGAAAGGGCAAGTAGCACTTGAGAAATATATCATCACGAAGACATTAACCAAGCCACCTGAAGCCTATCCTGATGCCAGAAACCAACCACATGTTCAAGTAAGCAAATGCTTAAACCACTGCCAAATTATTTTATCTACCATTACTTTTGTTTTGAAGATGATGTCTGTGTAATGGACAGGTTGCACAAAGGTTAAAACAAATGGGTTATTCTACTGGCTGTTCTGTTGGTGATACGATCCCATATATAATTTTCTGTGAGCAGGTTTGTACAAGTGGTTTTTATATTTATTTCCTAGATATGATACTATAGCTGTGATTATAACTATTTTATTTGGTGAACTCTGAAAGTTGGAAGAATATTGTTACTGAGATTATTCTCCTCTTCATTTTTTTCTTTGCGCTGCTTTTCTGGCCAGGGATCTACTTCTGGTGGTTTTACAGGCATTGCTCAGCGGGCTAGACATCCTGATGAACTTAAAAGAGAAGATGGAAAATGGATGATTGACATCGATTACTACCTGTCGCAGCAGGTCTTTTTTTTTTTTCTTTTTCTTTTTCATGTTTTACAACTTTTAATTGCTTTGCCACGAATAATCATGGTCTGTTGTTACTGTCATTCTAATGGTTTGATATTTTCGACCTATGAACGAACAGATTCATCCTGTGGTCTCTCGTCTGTGTGCCTCAATTCAGGGCACAAGTCCAGAACGATTGGCTGACTGTCTGGGGCTTGATTCATCAAAGGTAAAACATAGATCCTACTAACTAGAGGAAAAAAGAAAAAAAAGGAAAAGGAAATAAAAAGTTGAGGGTTTCCTCACTTTCTAATATTACATTCACACTTCTGAGGTACTGTGTACTTAATTATGTTCAGTTCCTAATCAAATCAAGTGAAGTTTCCAACAGTGATGTCTCCTCTTCCCTCCTGTTTTCCGTTAGTGCTGAGGAAAGGTAATGATTTGAATTGCTAAAACTTCACACAACTTCAAACCAATCCTTGCATTTCCCTTGGAAAGTTATTAAATAAGTTTTATTTGGATTCTAAAATAACAACGTTGCTTCACCATTTACAGGTATCAGAGCTGTAAACCACTGGTACTAACTTGCCCCAAGTGTTATGGTATTTTTGAAGTTCCTACTATATTCAGTTCTATATACAAGTCAACATATGGAAAGCAAGAAAGTCCAATGGTTGATGAACCTACAAGAAATTTTTGAAATGTCCAAAATGCGAGGATTTGTTATGGGTTCCTGACGAAGCTAATGAGGGTAGGGGTGGAATGACTCCTGAAATGATTTCCAGCCAGGTAAGTGCCTTATGAGCTGAAATTTGATGCTATCTTTTCCAAACAACAATTAATCATGTTGCTCTTTTTAGAAAACTTTATATTAGGACAGCTTAAATAATTCTGGGTCAAATTTGGTGTTACCTCGTAGGGTGGGATCTCAAAATTTGACTGTATTGTTATGCGCCTCTTTGGCAATCTCGTAACAATATCCAAATTCATGTTACAGGTAAAAATGCAAACAGACAAGTTCATTGCAAAGTATTATCATGGCTTAATGATGGTAATTTACCTCATAGAAAACATTTTTTGGGGCTCATATATAGTTAGTGAAATGATGTAAATCTCACAAATGTTTTGAATATTATAGTGTGACAAGGAAACCTGCAAATACACCACTCGTGCTGTCAATCTTCGACGTGTGAGCGACTCCCAGAGAGGAATTCTCTGCCCAAAATATCCTCAGTGCGATGGGCGTCTCATAAGAACGGTATTACATTGTCTATTTCTAAATGAGTATGGATATAGTGATCCTTTTACATATTTTGATCCCTCCCTAGAGTTATGCCTCTAATCATGAATGCCCCTCTGTATATCAGTATACTGAAGCGGATTTGTGGAAGCAGATTTGTTATTTTTATTATGTGTTGGATACTGAATGCTGTATGGAAAAGGTTATTCGCTTCTTTCCATTCATTTCACATTCTTTAGTTGAGACAAAGCAGCCTCTATTCACTAGTTAAACAATGTATGAAGATGTTAATATTTTGTTGGCTTTGTACAACAGTTGGAGATTCGTACAAGGGTAACTTTAGAAAAAGAAATGGCAAAAATTCGGCCATTGGTCGAATCAGCTGCATCAACAATTAAAAGGATTCGAGATCTCAATGCATATGGTCGGGTGAAGTTGGAAGATATTGCGGTTAGTTTGCATATAGCACCAAATTATGCATGCCCTTCTCTACATTGTGTATAAATGTCATATGGATGAATACTCTTAATAGGAAATCAGGTGGAGTTTTTTTTTTTTTTTTTATTGTTGCCTTCCACCATTTGAGATGTTACATTATATGTAACTTTGGTTATTAATATAAGTAATTAATTTATCAAAAGTGTAACTAATTTAGATTTTGAATGTTGCCCTTCTAGGAGATTGAAATTTGATTTTTTTTTCTTTTTTAATATTTATGACTAGCTATAGTTGTCTTTATTCTTAGATGAGATTCTTTTTCGATTCATTTAGTTGTGTTGTATGCTTTCAATTAGTTGGATTGGAACAATTTATTACCAAGTTAGAGTGTTTTTTGTACACTCGATTTTGTGGTTAGATTTGAGTACTTTTGTCATTGGGCAAGAGTATTTCTTTGACGTTATTTTAAGTATTTTATTAGTTGAATCTTGTATGATTTTTTGGTTGGGTGAGATATTAATTGCAACACTTACTCAAATTTAGGAATTTTTTTAATATTTAAAGTAGTAAACTTTGTTGATGCGTAGATATACTAAATCATCCATGATCTTTTAGATAACTATTAATTTAGTTATGAATCTTTTAAAATTATGAATTTGGCCTTTAATGTATTAAAATTTTCAATTAGTTTTTTTAGTATAATACGTGGGATAGAAATTCGAATCACAACCTTTTTTTTTGGTTAGTTTATTTCTATTATTTTGAAGAGTGTCAATTTAAAATTTTCAACTAAGTTATTCCATAATTTTTTTTACATATCCATAAAACAGCTTTTTTTTTCCTTTCAAAAAGGCATAAAATAGTTTGTTAACATAAAACTTATTGTTTTATTAACACATTTGGATATGTGGGTATGTTATTTTACTTGCAAGAAACATATTTTAGATCAGATGGTCGAATTTTGCTAATGGATATGTTAAGTTTCGTGAGTCAAATAACATTTGAGTGATCCGTTCATGTGTTCAAATATGTCAATACATAAAAAATTTTAACAATTTTTTTACAGTTAATTTAAAAATTAACATATTTAAATTAAATAAGAATTCTGACCGTTGCCAAATTGAGAATTACTTAAAAGATTAGACATGAGGCATATTTTGAACAAAAAATCAATAAATTCGTTGGCAATGATAAAATATTGTATAATAATTTTAAGTTTAGTCTCCATGGTGTGTCCTATAGATTTATAAATTTTTAATTTTGTGTCTAAATAGACCCGTGAGTCGTCCTTAAAATTTTAATTTTGTATATAATAAGTCCTTCAATTTTTTATTTTGTGTGTTGTAGGCTTCTAAAATTTTCAACATTATTTAAAATTTATAGTTATGAAACTATAAGACATATTAAAATTGAAACATTTGACTTTTAATTTTATATCTAATAAGTTCATGAAATCTAAAAAATGCTTAAAAGATCATGGAACTATTGGATATAAAATTGAAAATTGAGGACCTACTACTATAGATATTTTTTAGGTTAAAAAACACATTTTGTCCCTATGCTTTCGCTAAAATAATGATTTAGTCTCTATATTTTCAATTAGTAACAATTTAGTCCATAAACTTTATTATGTAATAATTTAGTTCCTACTTTGAAAATTCGTCAAAATTAAGTGTTGATTTTTATTATATAATGATTTAGTTTTTGTAATTCATAAACACATTTAGTCCCTTATTGATTTATAGATCTACATATATAAAAAACTTTAAAAAAATAATTCAAAATATATAGTGACTAAATCATTACAAACTTTAAACTACGTTACTAAATTGTTAGATACTGCCCATAGACTAAATTGTCACCAAATATTAAGTAGATGAATAACTCGTTACAGACTAAAGTTGAGAGACTAAAGTACGAGTACCGATATTTTGTAACCTATTTTTTTTAATTTCTTAACAGGGGTGTAATGAAATGAACCACCCGAACGGGTCGAGTCTAGAAAACTGAGTTTTGTTGGCTTTAACCTTTCACCACACCCGTGGAGTCGACGACCCATACCTATTGGCTATAAGTCTCAACCAAGGTTTTAAATGTCGATGTTGATGAAAATGTCGAGTCTCAAATTCATGGAAATATCAATAAAATGTGAATGAATATTTATATAAAAGTTAGAAAAATTAGAAAATTGTAAAAAATATTTAAACTAACAAATAAATATTTTCCTATTTATAAATTAGTTAAAAATAATTAATATTAATATCATGTAATATATCACTGACATTTGATTGATATTTTATATATTTTGTCGATTTTTTTGAACTAGGATAAAAATGTCGATTTATTTCTCATGTCGATGTCGAACCATAGAAACATGGATATGTGGATGAAAATATCGACGTGTCGATGGATATTTAGAACCAGGTTCTCAACTCGGTTCGGTTTTATTCCCAACTTAACAAAAAGATTTATCATCTCTCTTTTTAGAGTACGACTAAGAATATTCTTTTTCCCCGTTTTGAGAGAGTGAAGAATTTCCCGCCAAAACACGAGTTCTTCCCGCCATTTTCGACCCCAAAACAAAATGGCCTCAGATTCTGAAATCCCAAATTCGCACCAACAAAATCGGAGTTAAACATCGCCGCCGTCGAGGTCAATATCTTTTCACTTTTCAATTTTCAGTCAATGGCGGACGAGCAGCCGTCGGCAAGTAGTCGGCGGAGGAGCCGAGGATCTGAGGCAGCTACTCGCCTTCAGGCTCTGGAACGTCTAAGAGCCATCCGCAGCGGCGGCCGTCGATCGGAAGCTGGTGGTTTCCAAGTTAAGTTAGAGAACCCCATATACGATACGATTCCCGAAGATGAGTATGAATCTCTCGTTGCAAAACGCCGAGAAGAAGCCCGAGGGTTCATTGTTGACGACGACGGTCTTGGGTATGGAGACGAAGGCGAGGAAGAGGATTGGTCCAAAGCTGGAGTCCATTCCTCCGATGAGTCCGACGGCGAGCTCGAGAAACCTAAAAAGAGGAAAACAGAGAAGAAAGAGGCGCAGCCGAAGAAGCCCTCTTCTTCATTATCGGCGGCGGCGGCTATGATGGGGAAACAAAAGCTTTCTTCGATGTTCACTTCGTCGATCTTCAGGAAAGCGAATAGAGACGATAAGGCTAAAGGGTCGGCTTGTGACAGTATCGTCGATGATGTAATTGCCGAATTTGCGCCGGATGAGACTGACAGAGAGAGGCGTAGAAAGGGGCAGATTGGAGCTATGCCGATTTCGAGGACTTTTGCGCCTATTCCTGCTGTGAAGTGCGAGGGATTAACTGCCCCAAGTCTTAATTTAATCGGTGGATCTGAATTGATTAAGGATACTGAAAATGGGAACTTTGGAATGACCAGGGTTATTACAGATACTGATATGGAGCCTGTGCGAGCTGGTATAGAGGTCCAGGGGAATGGTGAAAGTAGTAAGGGAATTGAGGAAAAGGAGGAGTTAAATGCTCAAATCAGTCAGGATCCGATTGTGCAATCACATAATTCTTTGAAGGAAGATGTAATTGAAGATAATATGCCTATTATGGTTGAAACAAAGGCAGAACCACTATCGAAGCAGGAGCCGGTCTGTACTCTCAATGCTAAGATTAATGAAGAAAACAACCCGGCTTTGAGTGCTACTGTGGGTTGGCAAGCAGTGAGGAGCGAAGGTAGCGAAAATGCTGATTCTGCTGCAGAAATTTCTGAAGAGAAATCAGATTTTGATATTGACACAGATGGCTCTCTGCCTTTCTATATAATCGAGGCGCATGAGGAGCTCTTTGGTGCAAATTCGGGTACTGTATATCTATTTGGCAAGGTATTACTAATTTTCCCTCATCAATTCTGCAATTTAATGTTGTATGGATGGATGAAAGTTAACCGATCATTTCTTTTTACAAAAATGCCCTTGTTCTGTTTTACTAGGCAAGCACGCTGCTTAGCAAAGTTTGGTGCTTTGTTGTTATGATAAACTTGTTTCTATTCTTGCTGTTCTATAATGTCCCGTGCAATCCCAATGAATGTTTGAAGGGAAGGTGGTGGAACTTCAAGACTTTTAGATTGTCACTCATAACTGTTAAATTGTTACACTCTTATTGCTGACCATTCACATCTTTTTATCATTAAACCTTTGAAGTCAATTGACAGTCTACCTCTAGGTACTTAGGGTTTTTCTCTTTCCCTTTTTTTCTTTCTTCCACCCTCTATTCAAGCTTTGATACGGATTATTACTAAACTAATCCAGATAAAAAGCGTGATCTTCTTGGTTCACTTTGGTCACATATCTTCTTGTAATTAGGTCAAAGCTGGAGATATGTACCATAGTTGTTGTGTGGTGGTAAAAAACATGCAAAGATGCGTATATGCTATTCCAAGTGCCTCTTTACTTCATTCGGACGAGATGTTGAACCTTCGAAACGATGCTAAGCAGTCTCAGTTTTCTCCTGCAGATCTGCGTACAAAGTTGCAAGTAAGTTTATCCACTCTTGTAACTGAGTATGTTGTGCTTGTCATCCTTTGTTTTCTCTGAAAACATCATTTATCTTGCATGCTTCTATTAATGTGCTTTTATTACTTTCTACTCTTAGGGAGTGACTTCAGGACTAAAAAACGAAATAGCCAATCAGTTATTAGATCTCAATGTTTCAACATTTAGCATGACTCCGGTTAAGGTTTGCAAATTATCTTTTTCTTTATTTTGTATTTGTCTTATTGCATTTGTACCATGTCAAATATTATTTATAGTTAAACTACCCAGTTTATTATGTATTCTTCTTAAATTCTCATCACAGAGGAAATATGCATTTGAGCGTTGTGACATACCTGCGGGAGAAAATTATGTGATTAAGATCAATTACCCATTTAAGGTATAATACTTGACACACGAATGATATTTGCAATTTGAATTAAAGATTTTAACTTTTCTGTTTTTTTTAGTACAATCCTATCTTGAACACCTTTTTTCAAAAAATAAAAATAAAAATCTTGAACACAAAAATTTTTTAGATCTTAGTAGGTTAAAGTTCTTAAGTTTCCTTCCAAGGCACATGTCTCTTAATTTTGTTTCTATTCTTTATTCACATATTAAAGTTTTTATTGATGATGGTTGGTTAAACTTGTGATAGCACCCCCCACTTCCTGCTGATCTGAAAGGAGAATCATTCTGTGCCCTCTTAGGAACGCATCGCAGGTATAAATATATTGGAATATTCATTTCACCCTTTCCTGGCATATTACACATCTTTCTTTACACTCTCCTTTTGGTTTTCCTGCCATCCATTCAAATATCAAAGCATTTTTGGTTTTCCTGACCTCCATTCAAATATCAAAGCATTTAAACTGTCTGTAATATGCAAAACAAATGCCAAACAGGAAGATCTTCTTGCTTATAGCCAATGATAGATCTTGACACCTGATGACTTTGGTGATGGGATGTAACTTGTAATTCATAATTAGAATGAGAGCTTGGAACTGGAATGCAAAAGCCAGTTAACTTTGTATTTCTCGTTACGGGAATTTTCCAGTTCTTATCCAAACATTCTTGGACATTATTGGCTGACATATCCGAAAAGTTAAAGTTCTTTCAAAGAAGCCTAGGAATTTAATAAAGAAAGACATTGAGGTTAATATCTTAAATTATTACACTATGTTGTAGTGTTTGTAAGTAATATATTTTCTATCAACTATTTGATCATGTGCGTTCGGAATAGTTTTTTTGATGAAGCACTGATAATTTAACATGTTAATGCATACAGTGCCTTAGAGCTCCTCCTCATTAAAAGGAAAATAAAGGGCCCCTCCTGGCTGTCAATTTCAAAATTTTCTTCCTGTACTGGTTCTCAACGAGTAAGATTACTTAATCCTATCATAGTTTATTTGATTAATAGGGAGCTTTGATTTTCACACTGTTATAAATGCTAAAACTACGGCGATATTCTTATGAAGGTGAGCTGGTGCAAGTTTGAGGTGACAGTTGACTCTCCAAAAGATGTTCAACTTTCAACTTCGTCAAGTGTCAAAACTTTGGAGATTCCTTCTCTGATTGTCAGTGCAATAAATATAAAAACCATCATTAATGAAAAGCAGAATGTCAATGAAATTGTGTCTGCATCTGTTATATGCTGTCAAAGAGCAAAGGTTAGCTATGAACTTTTGTCAGTGCTGTTGACTTCTTTTTGAATATTTCTTCTGATGTGACAATCATTTTTTGTTTTATTTGAAAATGTGAATCAGATTTTCAAATCAGCTTACAAGAATGTTGGCCACTGATGGCTAATTTACTTGATACGAGTTACAATATTTATAGGCCCTAGAGGATCATTGTCTACTTGATAGGAAGTATACAACATTTAGTTGAACTGCTAAATCTTTACAATTTTTTATTTTATTATTTTGTTTTTTTATCAATTTATCTTTATGTTGGAGTAAGGGTTATGGTATGAATGTGATACATGATGTGTACAATCGAGCTTTGTGGGTGAATTCAATTTAAGAATGAATGAGATGAGGAATTGGTATTAGGTCACTGCTCATAAGCTTGGAAGTCACTATCTTCTGTAGTTAAAATTCTAGCTAGTATTGTCATTTTTAAAAACAATTATTAGCTTGTTTTGACATTTAAGTATACAGAGATTTAACAAATTAAAGAGAGATTATTTTACTTTATTAAATATTTTTAACATGAGCTACTACTTGACACTTCAGATTGACGGTCCCATGTTGGCCACAGAATGGAAAAAACCTGGTATGCTTAAACATTTTACTATCATCCGTAAGCTTGATGGAGGCATATTTCCTATGGGATTTAATAAGGCTGCATCAAATGTTTTAATCTGCGAGAGCAGGTAGGTTACTTATTACTATTGTCCTGAAATTGTATTCTGTTCCCTGTAGAAAACTTCAATTTTGCTAGAAAATTTATAATATTAATAGTTGTATTAAGGTTTAACTACAATTGTTCTATTGCAGTGAAAGGGCCTTGTTGAATCGATTAATGGTTGAATTATTCAAATTGGATAGTGATGTGCTGGTTGGACACAACATCTCTGGATTTGACCTAGATGTTCTTCTCCATCGAGCCCAGGTAGAATTATCAAGTAATGATATGAACATAGTAACAAAGTAAAATGTCTCTTTTTTTTTTTAAAAGGAAACAAATCATTTCACTTAGAACCATCTTTACGTAGCCACAACCCCCTTGAGGTGTAAAGAAACCTCCCCAAGACCTCACAAGTAAGAATTTGAACATAACATGCAATCCCCATCCCAAAAAACTACCCCCACCACTACCAAGAAAAAATGTAAAAAAACAGAAGAAGTAGAAAAGAAAAAGAAAAGAAAAGATGGCAACCATGATCCATGACACGAAATAAAACATTGGATGTTCCTTTCTGAAGAACTATTTTCCCTTCAAAGTGAGCTTCCTGATCATAAACCCCTAAAAAAAGCTTTAACTTCAATGGAAGGTTCTTCGCCTTTGCTGCCACAAAAAGGGTCTTCACTTCACTTGCTCGACAAATCTTTGAAAACTAAGCAAGAACTATTTACTAGTGACTTTTACACCTTACTGAGAATCTTGCAAGTTTCCTTTTATCGTAATTTACTCCAGAAACTAGATTTGCTAACTCTCTGTCTCCATTGGATGCTTTTCCTTTTATTTTCACTTCGATTAGAAGTAAGCTGCTTCTTAGATGATCTCATGGAAGTATGCTACTTCTTAGATGTGGTTCCTTTGTGCCTTGATGACTAAACGACTAATGAAAAGATATGCAATTTTAATAAGAAATTTCTCTATTATATTACAGTTTTGCCGAGTACCAAGCAGCATGTGGTCCAGAATAGGTCGCCTTAAGCGATCTGTTATGCCTAAACTTGGAAAAGGAGGGAGCATTTTTGGGTCTGGAGCAAGTCCAGGAGTCATGTCTTGCATTGCTGGTCGACTATTATGTGATACATACTTGTCTTCCCGTGACCTACTGAAAGAGGTATACTATTTGTGTTGAAAAATATTGGTGTCAACTGTCACTTAATCATTTGGGTTTTTTTGAAGCCTTACTTTTATTCTTCCAGATTAGTTATTCTTTGACAGAACTAGCAAAGACTCAGCTTAATAAGGATCGCAAGGAGGTTACTCCACATGAGATTCCAAGAATGTTCCAAGCATCAGAGTCTCTCATGGAGCTGGTGTGTTGACATTCTATATCCTGTATTTTTCTCCTAAAATAATCTGTCTTTTTCCTCACTTATTACAATTTGGATAAAGTAGTAGTGAATGTTTTGTTCCGAAGAGGTGATAGGTTATATTGTCTTGAAGCGACGATAGTGTTATGGTTCTCTTTAATTATGTTTAAAAATGTTAGTCATGATTAGTGAAGCCATTAGAGATATACTGGGTAGCCTATCAATGGTCGTGGCTTCATACCTTCTTCCCTATAAGTACTTCAATTCTTTTTATTAATTAATGGCTTGAACATGCTAGAATATTCTATAGCTTGAAATATGGTCAGCCAGAGGATTTTGTATGACTCAGAGACAAGTTCAATTTTACCTATGTTGCAAAAACTCCATTATTGCTCAAAGTCTTGACACTGTGAACTTGTGCCTGAAATAGATGAAAGAGGAGAAAACATTTTTGTTTTGTATCTTATGGTTTATTTTTAGTATATGCAACAGTTAACTTTTCATTATTATTGTGTGGTACCCTCCTATTATCAGTTAAGATTACAAAAATGAATGTCTGCTACAAAAAGGATGGTGGGTCGAGTTTCTTAAACTATTTAACTTTTTTCACCAACGGTCAACGAAAAGTTGAAGTCTGTCACACTATTTGGATCTTCAAATTTTATTTCAACTGCATTATTATCAAGATGTTTAACCTCTCAGATTTAATATGGTGAGACAAATGCGTAGTTATCATGGAACTCATTTTTTATTGAAGTATTCCTCATTTTTTATTGAAGTATTCTAACTACATTATTCTCGTGATGATTTAATATATCAGATTGAATATGGAGAGACAGATGCATGGTTGTCATTGGAACTCATGTTTCATCTCAGTGTTCTTCCTCTTACTCGTCAGCTAACTAATATCAGTGGTAATCTCTGGGGAAGAAGTCTACAGGTACGCCCTATTGGCATATTTCATCTTTATTTCATTCCACAATTCAACTATGAAATTATAATGAGAGTTTTACCGGTCTAAATTTGATATACGTACTTTTTCAGGGTGCTAGAGCCCAAAGAGTAGAGTATCTCTTACTTCATGCATTCCATGCCAAAAAGTATATTGTCCCCGACAAGACTTTATCTTATATGAAGGAAAAAAAGATCGTAAAAAAGAGAATGACTCGTGGTTCTGAGGAAAAGCATACTGATGAATTTGATTTAGATGATGCAAATGTAGAATTTGCTCCCAATACTGAAAGTGGAAAAGGCAAAAAGGGATCCTCCTATGCAGGTGGGTTAGTCTTGGAGCCAAAACGAGGTTTATATGATAAATATATATTACTCTTGGACTTCAACAGTCTGTACCCTTCCATCATTCAGGTTAGTATGTTATTTCAGTTAAATATTTGTCAACTCCTTCCAGTTATATTTTAATCATGGACAAAGTGATCTAATTTTAATCTGTGTGCCACATGTGATCACTGGTGTCCCTTGCAGGAATATAATATTTGCTTCACCACCGTAGAAAGACCTCCAGATGGTGTTTTTCCTCGTCTGCCATCTAGTAACATGACTGGAGTTCTTCCCGAGGTACAACCATTAAAGGCATAATAGGATGATAACTAAATTTACTTGTTTATTAAACATAAGAAAATATCATCAAGCCTTACGGCGTTATTCTAACGGTCTCAAATGATTTTGTTCTTTTTTCTTGTCTTCTCTTTTCTGTTATTTTCCATGGGTTACTTGTTTTTTATTTTTATGCTTGAAATAGTGGGTAATGGGTGGGAACTGGACATGTTGTAATCTCTTTGGTGATCAAAATTAGGTTATTGCCATAAACTGCCAATAATATGTTGGACAAATTCTAAACCATGGCCATCACCATATCGGCTATTGATATGGATTATGACAACAACTTCTCAGTCCTCATATCAACTCGGGTTGAAGGTTTGATCATGAACAATCATAATGATTCTGTTTCAAAATATGATTTATGCACTTATGAAATATGTTAAGTCCTTTGCAACAGGGGAAGTTTTGTATTTGTATTGTATTATGTGGTGGGTATTTGAAAGGTTAGAAAGGAGTCAAAAGAAAGGGGTACTATCTGGGCTTTCTGGGAGGATGTTGTTTTTAGGGGCAGGGCTACCAAATTCTAATTTGGTTTTGGGTTTCAAGCTGTTCAGGTATCTCCAATTAGGAATTTGTAGTTCTTTTTATCAATAACAGGTATTGTTTCCTTGTGAAAAAAAAAGGTCGTGCGCACAATTGGGTGGCATCTTTAAAATTTAGGGCAAATTGTTTTCAATTGTAAAAATAAAACCTCAAAACTTTATAAATGAAAAAATTGGACCCCTAAACTTTCAATAGTAAAAATTAAACCCTTAAACTTCCATTAATTAAAAAATTGCACCACTTAAACTATCAATGGTAAATTTTAACTAGCTTTGAAAGATAATGGAAAGCCTTATCTAATTAGTTATTTATTATTATTATTTTTTTTTAACAAGAAACAAACTTTGCATTGATATATGAAAAGGAAGAAAATGTTCAAGAATACAAACTCCCTCAGGGGCATAGAAAGAAAGGAAAAATAGCAAATGAAGAACAAAAATCCAAAAGATACAATAGAATAAAACATTGATGAACAAAGCAACTATAAGCTCAACGAAAACATGCGCCAAAAGAATCATAAACACTCCTTTCAAGCTTGAATTATGAGGCTCATTCTCAAAAGAACATCTTGGCGACAGACTAGGAAAAAAGAGGATGAGGCTTTCTGATAAAATCTGCAAATAACTTTGAAAAGACTTGTACATACTTTCCAGCATGTCTTCAATATACTTTCCAGCATATCATCAATATGACTTGCATTCCTGACGGGCTGCATGTTTAACTGGACCATAGAGCAGATGTAGGATAAAGAAATGTACTTTACCTGCATTCATGATGCTGCTATTTTGCTTTATTGTATCGACATTGTTATTTGCAAAAACTTATGGATTCTTCCATGTGATGATGTAATAAAATTTTAGTATGCATGGGAGTTTCAATCACGTGAAATTGCCTTTATATAACGTTAAAAGTGTCTCTTTGTAGCAATCTCAGATTCCAATATTATCTTTCCTTTTGTCATCCTCTTAAGACACGAGTTTTGCCCAAAAAATGGTTAATGCATGCCATGTAACTCATGTCCATTTCTTATATTTTTTTGCTTCTTGGTAGAAAGATGGCAATGATGCACATTTTCTTTATACAGTTGCTAAAAAATTTGGTTCAACGGAGAAGAATGGTAAAGTCATGGATGAAAAATGCATCTGGTCTCAAGCTCCAGCAACTTGACATTCAACAGCAGGCACTAAAGCTTACTGCAAACAGGTATTTTTCTGTTTATGTTTATTTTTCAACCTTTCACTCCATACATCTTATACACTAATAATCTATTTCATTGTACACTTACATGATCTGGTGACTGTGATGCAGTATGTATGGATGTTTAGGCTTTTCTAATTCAAGGTTTTACGCAAAACCACTAGCAGAGCTCATTACTTCACAAGTAAGGGAATTAGGTTGCTTGTGCTGCAGTTCTAATATATGCCAATTACGTAAAAGACCGATCTTCCATCTTCAGTTTTCTAGCCCAAAAAAAAAAAAAAAAAGAAAAGAGACTGCAGAAACTTGCATGTAACTTACTTATGTACTTATTTTGCAGGGAAGAGAAATACTGCAGAGCACTGTTGATTTTGTACAGAATAATTTGAACCTAGAGGTCATAGTTAAACACTAAAATTCAAAAATTATATAGATTTCCCAACGTATGTGCATAATCTTACAGCACATCCAAGTAATTTGGTCTCATGAATGGATTATTTTCCACATGACAGGTAATTTACGGGGATACTGATTCAATAATGATCTATAGTGGACTGGATGATATCAGCAAAGCGAAAGCAATTGCAGCAAAAGTTATACAAGAGGTGGGGTTGTACGCTCTGATTGAATTTTTCAAAGTATTTATCGTATCAATTATGTTGGAAACTCCCATGATTTAAGATCTAAGCCTAATAAACTGCTCTTTCGTTTTAGTATCGGATTTAGCTATCTAATGTATAAGAATGTATAGTAATTAAAAAAAAAAGTTCAACACCTTATCTGGGTATTCAAAATTTCTCTCGCAAAATACTAGAAAATAGTTTTAAGGTCCATCTAAATCATTCGTAATATACCGGAATGCTTGTATGTCACAATGCCAACAAGTGCCTATGGTGTGGATCAGACAAGAGAAGAATTTTGATCCATATAAAATATCATTTGCAAATCTTTCCTCATCTTCTCAAGTCACAATGTGAGGTATTATTTCCTGTTTTGCTTTTCCTAGGTCAACAAAAAATACAAGTGTTTAGAAATTGATCTCGATGGTCTGTACAAGAGAATGCTGCTTCTGAAGAAAAAGAAATATGCAGCTGTAAAGTTGCAGTTCAAGGATGGAATGCCATATGAGGTAACTATGATTTACTTCCATTTGCTCTATTGGTTCTTTAAGGAAATAAATGGGAGCTAGAGCAGTGTCAAAGTTGACTTCATATGTACAGGTTATTGAGCGCAAGGGTCTTGATATGGTTCGCCGTGACTGGAGTTTATTATCGAAGGAATTAGGTGATTTCTGCTTGAGTCAAATATTGTCTGGAGGGTATGTAACGTTGCCCATAGAGAATTTTATTTGTTATTCTAAATGGTACATCATCATTTAGAAACTGCATTAATTTTACTCTTAACTCTCTTTTTTCCTCATGCTTATAGGTCATGTGATGATGTTGTTGAGTCAATACACGACTCTCTTAGGAAGGTAAAAATTGTACGTTTCATGTTGCAACTTGTGAATATTTTATTCTTACAATCAAGAAAGATAGAGTTCAGCTTGATGCTCAGAGAGTTCCTACAATTTAAACCGAGCGTGTGCTAAAATTGGCAATGATCGTCAAACAATTCTGCAAAATGTGGACACGTAAAAAATGACATCCTGCACTTGCAAGCACTAAGAAGCGAAAGAAATAAAAAAACCAACACTGCTCAGTACAGGGGAAAAATAAAAGAAAATTGAGCCTTTGGAGGTATGTAATTATCGAGAATTATTTGGGATTAAAGGTACAGATTTTACACAGATACAAGATGATATGAGGAAAGGGCAAGTAGCACTTGAGAAATATATCATCACGAAGACATTGACTAAGCCACCTGAAGCCTATCCTGATGCCAGAAACCAACCACATGTTCAAGTAAGCAAATGCTTAAACCACTGCCAAACTATTTATCTACCATTACTTTTGTTTTGGAAGATGATGTCTGTGTAATGTACAGGTTGCACAAAGGTTAAAACAAATGGGTTATTCTACTGGCTGTTCTGTTGGTGATACGATCCCATATGTAATTTGCTGTGAGCAGGTTTGTACAAGTGGTTTTTATATTTATTTCCTAGATATTTAAAGCGAACATAGTTAAGCGGTAATTGGCATATAACTCACACCAAGAGGTTGTAAGTTCGAATCCACACCCCAACATGTTGTACTTAATTTTTTTTTTTCCCTAGATATGATACTATAGCTGTGCTTATAACTATTTTATTTGGTGAACTCTGAAAGTTGGAAGAATATTGTTACTGAGGTTATTCTCCTTTTCATTTTTTTCTTTGCCTTGCTTTCTCGGACAGGGATCTACTTCTGGTGGTTCTACAGGCATTGCTCAGCGGGCTAGACATCCTGATGAACTTAAAAGAGAAGATGGAAAATGGATGATTGACATCGATTACTACCTATCACAGCAGGTTTTTTTTTTTTTTTTTTTCTAGACATCCTGATGAACTTAAAAGAGAAGATGGAAAATGGATGATTGACATCGATTACTACCTGTCGCAGCAGGTCTTTTTTTTTTTTCTTTTTTTTTTTCATGTTTTACAACTTTTGATTGTTTTGCCACGAATAATCATGATCTGTTGTAACTATCATTCTAATGGTTTGATGTTTTTGACATATGAACGAACAGATACACCCTGTGGTCTCTCGTCTATGTGCCTCGATTCAGGGCACAAGTCCAGAACGATTGGCTGACTGTCTGGGGCTTGATTCATCAAAGGTAAAACATAGATCCTGCTAACTGTTGGGAAAAAAGAAGGAAAGAAAAAGTTGAGGGTTTCCGCACTTTCTAATATTGTATTCACACTTCTGAGGTACTGTGTACTTAATTATGTTCAGTTCCAAATCAAATCAAGTGAAGTTTCCAGCAGTGATGTCTCCTCTTCCCTCGTGTTTTCCGTTAGTGCGGAGGAAAGGTAACGATTTGAATTGCTAAAGCTTTACACAACTTCAAACCAATCCTTGCATTTCCCTTGGAAAGCTATTAAATAAGTTTTATGTGGATTCTAAATAACAACGTTGCTTTTATTTGACTACTTACAGGTATCAGGGTTGTAAACCACTGGTATTAACTTGCCCCAAGTGTTATTGTATTTTTGAAGTTCCTACTATATTCAGTTCTATATACAAGTCAACATATGGAAAGCAAGAAAGTCCAATTGTTGATGAACCTACAAGAAATTTTTGGAGTAATTTGAAATGTCCAAAATGCGAGGATTTGTTATGGGTCCCTGACGAAGCTAATGCGAGTAGGGGTGGAATGACTCCTGGAATGATTTCCAACCAGGTAGGTGCCTTATGAGTTATGAGTTGAAATTTGATGCTATTTTTTCCAAACAACAATTAATCATATTGCTCTTTTTATAAAACTTTATAGTACCTGAATCAACAAATAGTTTTAAATGGTACAAGATTAGGACAACGTAAATAATTCTAGTTTAAATTTGGTATTACCCCGTAGGGTTGGGTCTCAAAATTTGACTGCATTGTTATCCGTCCCTTGCAACTTCGTAACAAAATCCAAATTTTTATTTTTCAGGTAAAAATACAAACAGACAAGTTCATTGCAAAGTATTATCATGGCTTAATGATGGTAATTTACCTCGTAAAAAACCTTTTTTGGGCCCATTATATAGTTAGTCAAATAATTTAAATCTCACAAATCTTTTGAATATTTAGTGCGACGAGGAAACATGCAAATACTCCACACGTACTGTCAATCTTCGACGTGTGGGCGACTCCCAGAGAGGAATTCCCTGCCCAAAATATCCTCAGTGCGACGGGCGTCTCATAAGAACGGTATTACGTTATCCATTTTTGAAGGAATATGAATATAGTCCTTTTACATATTTTGATTCCTCCCTAGAGTTATGGCTCTAATTGTGAATGCCCTTGTATATCAGTACACTGAAGCGGATTTGTGGAAGCAGATTTGTTATTTTTGTGACGTGTTGGATACTGAACGCTGTATGGAAAAGGTTATTTGCTTATCTTCCTTCTCGTCATATTCTTTAGTTGAGACAATGCAACTGTTTTTCACTAGTTAAACTATGTATGAAGCTGTTAATATCTTGTTGGCTTTGTGCAACAGCTGGAGATTCATACCAGGGTAACTTTAGAAAAAGAAATGGCAAAAATTCGACAATTGGTCGAGTTAGCTGTATCAACAGTTAAAACGATTCGAGATCGTAGCGCATATGGTCATTTGAAGTTGGAGGATATTGCAGTTACAGTTTGAGTTTGCATATGGCACCAAGTTAGGCATCCTAGATACTCATTCTTTTACCTTCTCTCCATTGTATATATTTGTCATATGGATGAATACTGTAATAGGAAATCAGGTGGAATTTTCATTCTTGTCTTCCACCATTTGAGTTGTTATATTATATGTAACTTTGGTTATTATACAAGTAATTAATTTACCTATGTTTCCACAAATTGGTGGGAAAATGATGTAAAATTGAATGTCTTAAATAAATAAGGCATTTATTACCATATCGGTAGTAAGATATTTGAGTCCTCTGCTCTTCAAATTAAAAAAAATTAAAAAGTTACGTAACTTAGTCTAGATTTTGAATGTTGCCCTTATTGGAGATTGAAATTTTTGGATGTGTAACAACAAATTCTTTCATTGGAAGTGTAATATATACCTTTCCATGTCTTCGGATACAACCCATAAGGCTTTGTCTGTTCTTCATGCATAAACCAATCATTATTAACTTAAAAGTTTTAAATTTCATTAATGTAAGGGCTACAATTCAAAATGTATACTTGAGTAAGGGATGCATTTGCCAAATTGAGTATAATTTAGTAGTAATTGACATATATCTCCAACCAAGAGATTGTGAGTTCGATTTTTCATCTTGCATGTTTTCTTTTTAAAAAGCAAGTGATGCATTTAATACCTTCAATTGATTTTTTTTTTTAATATTTATGATAGTTAGAGGTGTCTTTATAGTTAGGTGAGATTATTTTGCAAGTATTGTTTTATTTAGATGTGTTTGATGCTTTCAATTAGTTAGATTTGAACACTTTATTAGTAAGAGTGTTCTTGCCTGCTCGATTTTGTGGCTAGGTTCGAGTGTTTCCTTGATTTGGCATGGGTAATTCTTTAACATTATATTAGTTGAATTTTGTATGATTTATTGGTTGGGGTATAAATAAATTTTAAATTTTAGTTTTGGGAGGTATTAATTGCCAGACTTATTCGGATTTTTTTACTTGAAGAAATTAAACTTTATTAAAAGTCTAACACTATTTTAGTTACATTGGTTGGACAATTTTGGCTGTCTACTTTAAAAAAATGGTTTATTTTTTTAATGCAGTATAATAATTGTAATCTCGTTATGAATCTAACGTAAAAGATCATAGTTAGTTGAAGTAGATATATATTATCTCAAATTGTTCTTGACTTTTGTATCTGCCTTGAAAAAAAACATTCATATCACTTTCTTCGACTCCTTTTTTCCTCTCCCCCATTGTGTAAAAAAAAAAACATTGCAGACACAATCAAAACACAGTTTGAAAGAACAAAAAGGAAGAAAAAAAAGGACCTTGAATAGTATGTCATAGTTGGTAATAAATAAAAAAAAGATAGCATTGGCATTGGCATTTGGGCATTGAGTTGGGTCATTTTGGATTCGCATGACTCTAAAAGCAAACCCATGTGGGATGGGGACAATTTGGTTGCTTTTGGGAGATGTTCATTTCCATTTGTGGCTCTAATTTTTCCATACAGACATCACCATTTTGAAGTGACACCTCCCAGGTCATCTTATACGACAATTCTCATGGGCATCCTTAGACAATTATTATTATTTTTTTTTTGGTTAACCATGAGGATAAATTTGAGATGGTAAATTTTAGATTTTTCTAGATATTATATATTTTTAACTTAGAAATAGTTTTCTAATAATAAGTTTGGTTAAATTACAATTTAGTCTTTGAACTTTTGAAATTGTCTAATATGTTCCATGAACTTCAAAAAGTGTCTAACGTGCTTCCAAACTTCTAATCTTGTACTTAATAAATCTACGGCAACATACATTTTTAGTCATGAGGTTTGGCGTTAGTGTCTATTTGTTCCTTCAAATTTCAAAAGAGACATTTTTAGTAACTTAACTCTGGAAAGTGGTTCTAAATAATCTCAGGCCTTATTTTAACAGTTAATGGATTACGTGACATTTGGAAAAAGGGGAAGAAGTTGTTTATCTATTTATTTGACTTTTCATATTAATTGATAATATGAAAAATCAATTAAGAAAAGCCAATCTAAGTTCATGTAATTTATTTTTATTATTATTTTTTGATGATTTAATTTCTCTGTTTTCCTTTTAGGGAAAAAAAACAAACAAAAAACCTTCTCTCTCCTTCGTATTAAAAAAAAAACTTTTTTTTTAGAACATCTTCTTCTCTCTTAGTCGTCATCTACCTCCTCAACCTCCGCCATTACATTCCTCGAAGGATGGTAGCGTAAGCAGATGAGGGCGAGAAAATTATCCGTACGAAAATTTGATGAAATTCGCTCTTTGTCAACACCCGAATTTTCTTCACGTCTCCTAGAAACAGGCAAGATGAATGCAAACAAAGTCACATATTGATTCAGAAAGAGTATCATCCATCCATGATATATAGATAGATATTTTTTATAAAGGTTATGCCCAGATATTATGTCTGTCTCGTTCAAATCTGGAACAAGGAAAACAAACCCTCGTGGTACAATTTAGAACAATTTTTCAAACTTTGTTGACTAAAAGTGTCTTTTTAAATCTTAAGAACCAAATAGACATCAACCGAGAGACCAAAATTGAATTTTACCTATAAGTCTATGAGCTTTTAATAAGTCTCAAACTTACTTGATTTAAGAAAAAAATTCATGGACCTATTATATACTCGAGAAAGATTAAGATCTTTTCACTTTTCTATCGGTTAAGCTCATGAATTTTAAATAATACAAATAGGTCCAAGACCTATGAGACGTTTTTAATTATTTTAGTTTATTATCACAAAGTACATTTTATTTTCGTTGTACTATAGGTAAGAGTTTATATTCACGATATTTTTTTTAGTACAATATATAGAGGTAGGAATTGAACTCATAATCTGTTGGAGATATATGTCACTTACCGCTGAGTTATGCTCGCTTTGGCCACCACCTTTTGATTCGAGATAAATAATTTTTTTGATTAGAGATAAAAACCTTAACCAATTAAACTATATTCACGTTGACTCAAAAATTATAATTTTTAAATACTATTTCAACTTATGTACCACTACATTAAATTTTACAAACAACCCATAATTAAAATATATATTGTTAAGGGTAAAACCTGAGCAGGACACGCGTCCGTTTCCCTTATAGGCTAGGATCACTAATGACTATCTTCCTAATACGGACATTGCTGAGCAGGACACATGTTTTCCCTAGAAGGAATGGGGGGACCACAGGCGATTACGCCTTGTACGTGGCTGGGAATGCATGCTATCGGTAGAACGAACACGTTCCTCAGTCACGGGCGACATGCCCAGAGCCGCAGGTGGTGGTGCTACTCTGCACTTGCTGGAAGCGCGTTCCCTTCTAACCGAACGAACAACATGCGATGTCCCTGCCACCCCTAACCGTCATCTTTCCTAGTCGGTCCTAAAGACTATAAAAGGAGGGACCTTCATCTTCACCAAAAACCTGTCACTAATACCTCTGGTGTCTTATTCATATTTACATTCCGATTGCTAACTTGATCGTCGGAATGTTTTAGGCAGGACACCGCACCGACGTTGAATATTCTGGTTTCAGGTCCGTTGGGTGTCAAGTCGGACTGCTCGTTTGTGTTCCACGTGGTCCTCTATCACCGTCGACATATATATCAAAAAGTCTTTCAAACAACTGGATGCTTCTCCCATTAGATCTGTGATGATATAGGAAGAAGACAAAACAAGAAGAGAAAAATTAGAGGCCAACCATTGAAAAACATGTAAACCAAAATTTGAAGTGATTAGAGGTTGGGAAAATAATAAGAATATATGGCCCATCAAAGGGATTTAGGCATTGTATTATTAGTTTTGGATTTCAAACCAAATTGGATACTAAGAAAATGAGAGATTGAGAATGATTTATCACTATTTTATTATTATCATTATTATTTTTTTTGTTTCCTTAGATTTTAGACATACTATTGGCCTAAATGACCAAACAACAATCCAAAATTGACCCTTTTTTTTCAACTTCATGAAATGAAACTCATCATCATAATAACATTAACAACCTTTCTTATCAATTCCACCCCAATTGGCCCCTCATTTATTGAACACCAAACTCCCATCACCCTCATACTCCCATCCACTCTCTTTTACTTTTTTTTTTCCTTCTTTTCCTTCTCATTTAGGGCTTTTTTTTTCACATGCATTCATATCCATGAAAATGTTTGTTCAATTCATTTCCATTTCAAATATATAATTTGGGACCGTTTAAATGTTAGCGACAACGAGTACAGTATTCGTGTTCATTGATTGGGTTGAGATTTTTTTAAAAACTCACATTGACAATGGACTCGAGCTAACTCAGTGCTGAAATATTTGAGTTTGAGTTTTTTTTTTTAATCAGCACGAGACTATATTCACAATCCGGCGAATTAAAAGCTCACATGCTTCACAGTTGTGTGAAGTTCAATGATCTGTTTTTTATTTTTTATTTTTGTTCTTTTCTGTTTTTTGTTTCTAAACTTTGGAAGGTAAGATTTTTGAGCTTCTTAAGCTTTGAGATAAGACTAAACCCTCTTCTATTTTGTAGAAAATTAAGATGTTTACATCTGTGGATGGGAAAGATTCCAATGTTAGAGACTTTCCTCTGTTTGCCTCCACCCAACATCTCCCCCATCTCATCTTCCCCAAGCCCACACCACATGCTCTTAACCCCATCCCTACTCTTCCCAATTTACCCTCTTCTTTCCCCTTTATTACCCCAATTGCCACTCCCTCATCTCCATTTCTCCATGCCCTTTTCTGGTATTTCACATGGGGTGTTGCTGATAATGATGATGATTTGGGAGGGAGGCTCAATTTTGGGATATGTTGGTGTTATTAGACAAGTAAATGAGGAATCTTTGAGGTGCAGTTTCTAGTTTTTCTCATTCTCAGTTTATGAATCTGAATTAGTAGAAAGAAACAAGAAAAAGAGCCAAAGAGAGGAGAAAAAAGAACAGCCAATTGGGGGAAATGACATGATAACTCGCCAATTTGTTTTGCTCTCTTCTTAATGCTGATGAAACCATCATGAGCTGTGAGGTTCTTCTTCAATCTCTCCCATGGCGGATCCTGAACCAGAGAAAGCTGGAATCTCTTCTCTTAACATGTCTTCTAAGAAAGAGCTTCTATCCACAGCCATGAAGAGAACCAGTGAATGGTATGCTTTTTTTCCTTCTTCTTCTTCTTCAATGAAGCTTCTTTAAACTAGCTCCAATGGAGTGTTTGACAGTTCCCCTGTTGGGTGTGTTCTGTTTTTGGTTTAGGATTTTTTCCCAAGAAATTCCAAGTGATGTCACAGTTCATGTTGGAGAAGCCTCCTTCTCCTTGCATAAGGTAGAACAACAACAACAACAATATTGAATTTTAGATGTTTTTTTAAAATTTTTGCAAGTGAATTGAAGTTGGTTTTTTGAATGATTCTGTTGTTTTCTTTTGCAGTTCCCACTCGTTTCAAAATGTGGTCACATAAGGAAACTTGTCTCAGAATCAAGTGATGCTGATCTCGCAACCGTCGAGCTCCCGGATTGTCCCGGGGGAGCGGAGGCTTTCGAGCTAGCTGCCATGTTTTGCTATGGGATAAACTTCGAGATTGGCACCGAGAACATTGCGATGCTCCGGTGTGCAGCGGAGTATCTCGAGATGACGGAGGAATACGCCGTGGGAAACCTGGTGGGGAGAACTGAGGCTTACATCAATGAAGTTGCACTCAAAAGCCTTGGAGGGGCAGTGTCTGTTCTGCATATGTCTCAAAGCCTTCTTCCAACTGCAGAGAAGGTCAAATTGGTGAGCCGCTGCATTGATTCTATTGCCTTTGTGGCTTGCAAAGACAGCCATTTTAGTATGTTAGGAGGGGGCAGAAATTCTGAGGGTGCCCTTCCTAAGGGCTTTGTTTCTTCCCTTCCTACTACTACTACTCACCCAAGGCCTCTTGTTGATTGGTGGGCTGAGGACTTGACTGTTCTCAGAATTGACATCTTCCAAAGAGTTCTTGTTGCTATGATGTCCAGAGGCTACAAACATTATGCTCTCGGTCCCGTTCTCATGCTCTATGCGCAGAAATCGCTTCGTGGTTTGGTGAGATCTCGATCCGAAAACGACTCGATTAGTATAAGAATGTTTTGATTTCCTTACTTTTTGTTGTTCTTGTATAAACAAACGTTGTTGCATCAGGAGGTGTTTGGGAAGGGGAGGAAGAGAATTGAGCCACAACAAGAGCATGAGAAGAGAGTTGTACTGGAGACTATAGTGAGCCTTCTGCCGAGGGAGAGGAACACGTTGTCGGTTAGCTTTCTTTCGATGCTCCTGCGTGCAGCTATATATCTCGAGACGACGGTCGCTTGTCGGTTAGATTTGGAGAAGAGAATGGCTGTACAACTGGGGCAGGCTGTTTTGGATGACCTTTTGATCCCTTCATATGCCTTTACTGGAGACACATTGTTCGACGTCGAGGCCGTGCAGCGGATCATGATGAATTATCTTGAATTCGAAGTTGAAGGGAACCAATTCAGGTACAACGGGAATGAGGAACATGTCTCCCCTTCATCAGGCGACCTGGAAAAAGTGGGAAAACTAATGGAGAATTATCTCGCTGAAATTGCCTCGGACCGCAACTTATCCATCTCGAAATTCATTAATCTTGCTGAACTTATCCCTGAACAAGCAAGAGTTACAGAAGATGGGATGTACAGGGCCATAGATATCTACTTAAAGGTGAAAGGAATTATCTGTTGAGTCTAAAGTTCTCATTTAAAACTCCAAAATTGAAGATAGCTTTAACTGAGTAAATTATACATGGAAAATTTGGCAGGCTCATCCTTCATTGAGTGATATGGAAAGGAAGAAAGTGTGCAGTTTAATGGACTGCCAAAAGCTATCTAGAGAGGCCTGCGCTCACGCCGCCCAAAACGATCGGCTTCCCGTTCAGACGGTGGTGCAGGTGCTTTACTACGAGCAGCAACGGCTACGAGACGTGATGAATGGCGGTGCGACCGGAGTCGAGTTGCCTACAGTTCCTGCTAAAATGAGCATATATTCCACTGATGTAGCAGCAGTTGCTGCACACCCAGTTTCAGATGAGCTCTCCATTTTGAGAAGAGAGAATGAGGATCTAAAACTGGAGCTGGTGAAAATGAAGATCAAAATGAGAGAATTTGAGAAGCCATCCATAAGGAGTCCACAACCAAACACTCAGCTGTTGCAGCCTGCTTCTGCTGCTTCAGCTGAGAAGCCTCCACTGCCCAAGAAGTCATTCATAAACTCGGTGTCAAAAAAGCTCGGTCGGCTCTATCCCTTCGTCCGCACCGATGGAGTCCCGTCCAACTCGAAAGGCCGAGTAAGGCCTGCCAAGGACCGGCGACATTCAATATCCTGAGAGGCCAGGCAGCTTTCAAAACCTCTCTACACAGCTTTTGTGAAGAGTCTGGTTTTTGTTTTGTTTCTTTGTTTTGTTTCTTTGTTTTGCTTTCAAGGATTTGAAACCTTAAAAAAATCTCTGCCATTTGGTCCCTTTTGTAATCTCTCTTATGTTGTAAATAATATTGACATTTCTCAGTGTTTGTAATAATGATAAAAGCATATTCATTTTGAGAGATCAGAACCCAGAAAGAATAAAACTCAAGGAGAGGGAGGGAAGGACTTGAATTCTGAAGAAGAACAGTCACAAGTGGGGTCTCAATCTGAATTATTATTGAATCTCTCTTTCCAAAATATAAAAAAACACAAAGCTTTTGGACCAAAAAAGCAAAGAGAATAGCCAACTCAATGCCCAACAGAGACAGAGCAGCAGAAAGAGCACATTTTGGTCGGTTTTCTGAGGTAAATCTTCATGCCATTGCTGCCTAAAAGAATATGTTTCAAAATGAACTGTTCTTTTTTTTTTTTCTTTTCCTTTTGAGTTTGGTACCATATGTTATACCTTAATTGAAGCCTTTTTTTAAAAAATTTGTTTCTTCAAATGGGAATCTTCTGTTGTTGCAGTGGCAGACACCCACTGAATAATACCCCCCTTCATTTGGCCAAAATTTGGGCCTTAAATGAGCAGCTGCAGTTGCTTATGAATCATACAAGTTTTGGGCTCAACCAAAGAGAACATTTCAAAATAGGATCTTTTCATGTTTGTTTCCGAGTACCATGATTGAATGACTTGTAAAAGTTGATGTTTTTTTAGTAGAATCATCATTCTAAAACGACGATTCTACTAAGAACCAATGAAAACGCGACACGAGGTTCGAGATAACTAGAGAAACAGTCCCAGATTGGAACTGCCAAACAGCAACAGCATTGCCATTACCAAGTAAAAGAAAAGACAAGAGCCTAGTGACAAAAGTAATATATTAACTTGGTTATAATTATAAACTTGTACACAGAAGAAGAAGAAGAAGAAGAAGAAGACTCTCAAATCAGCCCCCATTGACAAGGGAAAAAACTAAGCTAAAAACAGAGAACCCAAATGGAAAAAAAGACACAAAATCAAGTAAGATTAAGGCTTACAACTTGATAAAGCCAAGGATGGTGCTGAGTTAGCCTAATCTCATCATCAACCTGAACACGACTAGTACTATTGGCCTCAAGAAACCCACCAAGAAACTGCACATTTCTGTAACAATTTGAGTTTCTGGACACTATTTGAGCAGATCCAGTGGTGGAAGAAGAAGAAGAAGAGAAGCTAGTGGCAGCAGAATCAGAACCCAGTTTTTTGTTCCTCCTCCTCCTCCCTCTGATTTGAGAAGAAGGCCCCAAAGTCAATTCAATCTCACTTTCCTCAATAACATCAGTTTCTTCTTCTTCTGCTTCTTCTTCTTCTTCCTCTGTTTTCGCTCTGTTTTGCTGCGAAATGTTGCTCATCAACAGCTTCTGAATTCTGTACAGCCGGTGGAGTTCATAGACCTGGAAAACAAGAAATCGGGGTCATTCTTGAGAAACCCAGAAGAGAAAATTCTTGAGAAGTTGGGATTTTAACGACCGTACTTGGTGTCGAAAGGTGTGTTCGTGGTTTAACATGGCGATCTTCATATTTTCCTTGTTGTAAGATTCTTCCACCAGCTTTTCCATTCAGATCTATTGTGGTGGCAGAGAGAGAGAGAGAGAGAGCGAGGGGAGATTTTGAATGCTGAGAAAATTTTTTGTACCTGTTTTTTTTCCCGAGAAGGTTGGGGGTTTCTCGCAGATGGATCAGGGGAAATGTAGATCTTGATCTTCCCTAAGAACCCACCAAAAGAGGGAAAAAGAAAAGGGAAATGAAAGGATTCAAAACGACTGTGGATTGGGTTGGAACAGAACTCTGAGTATTAAAGAAGGAATATTATTACCATTCATTTTATTCCCATTCATTCGTTCCGATACCAATTTCACAAAATTTCTGATAAACATCGCAAACAGATAATATTTCGATCTCGATTCATTCATCGCTAATAAATATCACCTTAAATACTATTTTGATTTCTATACCCAAAATATTTATTTTAGTCCCTATCTTTAATTCTTTTTACCTTTAAAAATGGACTATTTTAATTTCTATTTATAAAATTTTAACACATATTTTATATAAATGAAAAATTTTTAATAGAAATTTATTCCTATATTTCCAAAACTCAATAAGTGATGTCAGGTTGAAATTTCGATAAAAATAAAAATAAAAAAACTAAAATAATTACTTTTTAAAATATAAATAAAAATATATTAATTAAAATAAATAATAGTTGAAATATAGAAATCAAAACGACTGTTTAGTCGTTTTAAAATTCCAAGAGTAAATTATTATTATTATTATTATTTTCCAAAACCCATATAATTATTCTGATGTCATGTGGGGATGGGGCTGCTTTTTGTGTATTTTGTCAGCTTCCTTCTTTTTTTTCTTTTTTCTTTTTTTCTCTTTCCTTATCGCTTCGGTCTTTTTGGTCCACAACGTAAAACAATTTTCTCGTACAAAAATATCTCCTCAAATAATAGTGTTCGCAATAATAAAAGAAAAGAAATATACATATATAGGTCTGTTTTAGTTTTAGATATTTATTATTTATTATTATTATTTTTTAATTAAGCGTAAAATATAATCAACTAAAAGTTAATAGGTTCAAATTTCCACGTTAAAAGAAGAAGAAAATTATTAATTCTTTATCCAAACTTCTAAAAAATTACTATAAATTTTAACTTTTTCTTTTTAGGTGATTTATTTTTTCTCTACATTTCTGCGGACTCATTTATACAGTAATTAAAAAAATATTAAAACGTAAAAGACCAAGTATGAAACATTTTACAAAAACCTAAAATAAATATGCGTCTATAAATATAGTACAAAAAGGGAAATTATTATTACCATAATCCAAAGCAGGCTCACATATAATATAAAAATACTTCGAAGAAAAGTAGTGAAATTTGTATTTATCCAGAATTACAGACAGGGAAGTGAAAAAGAAAAAAGAAAACTTTCTCAGCTTCCAAACACGACTTAGACCAAAAAATTTTCCGGGAAAATCAGCAAGAAAAAAAAGTAGAGAGAGAGAGAAACCTGGAGGAGAGAGAATTAAAAGTTGAAGAAGAATCAGGTCCAGTAGAGAGATAAAGACATAGCCTCCTCAAATCTCACCAGATGATCCAATATATATATATATATATATATATATATATATATATAATATATATAATTTTTATAATTTATTTTATTTTTTTGAGTAATTTAAGATTTGGGAAATGTGAAGAACGGGGCACGCCAAACAAATTCCCCAGAGAGGCATTGGCAAACCCAATCTTAAAACTATTTCTGTCAAAGTTTATGACACCCACACACTCCCACTATTAGCTCAACTATAATATTATTTAATTTCAATTTCTTTTAATTAATCTCCACTTAATTTTTTATTCCTATATTTCTAAAGCTAAAACACTTGATTGATTACTCTACCTTAATTTATATCTGGGATGAATCACATGCCTAGCGACGCTGTTGCATATTTACGGTTCGTTTGGTAATGTTTCGGTTTCTTGTTTTTCGTTTCTAATTTTATTAAAAAATATGAACACTGTTTTTAGTTTTTGGGAAATATTCTTGGAATTGTATAGAAATTTTGGGAATAGCAAAAATATGTTTTTTTTTCCAGTTTGGTGATGTTCGTGTTTTTTTGTTTATGGTTTAATTTTATTCATTTCCTCTTTTTCAATCCAGAAAAAACGAAACTACGATTTGTGATTGTTTCTTTTTTCTTGTTGTTTCTTTTCTATTGAAAAAAGAAATGGAAAACGTGTTTGGTAAATGATCCTTTCTTGTTTTTTGTTCTCTCTAATTTTAGATTAGAAAAAGTAAAACCTTTACGTGAAATTTTATTTTTCAAATTAAATATTTTAAATTTTTATGTTATATTTATTTTTTTATATATATTATTCATTTTAAAATAAAAATGATAAAATTATGCTTTTGTCCATGTTTTGGAAAACAATAGGAATTTGAAGCAAAAAACGTTTCTATAATTCTACACGATTATGGAAACATTTCTTAAAAAACAAGGGACGAGAAAAAGGAACAGTTGTCGAATGCTTCTATTTCCAAAAAAATGGAATGAGAAACGAGAAACGAGAAACAGAAAACAAGAAGTAAGATTGTTACTAAACGATCCCATATTTAATTATTAAGTTCTTGTTTATATGTTATTTTTTCTTTTAATGTTTTTGAAATTTAAATGAGGGTTTAAAATGGTGGAATTATAAGTATGTTTTGGTCTGATTCCTATGCTTTACAAATTTTCAATTTAGTTTATGTGTAGTTTCTTTTTAAAAGGTTTAATAAGAGGTGAAATTTTTGAATTAGTATCTTATTAGTACATTGACCAATTGAGTCATGTTAAAATATTTTATTTTAGTACGTAATTTGGTTAAATCTCATCACTTATAGTCTTTGTTAATTAGTTAAAGGTATTGATTTTGATGATTCAACACCAATGAGATATATGCTTGAAAGACTCGTTAATTATATATATAATTTTGAAATTAAAAAACACATAAGTCTATGAAATCCAACTTTCAACCTTGAAAAATATAATAGGTGTCTTATATATTAAATTATACTCAAATTTACCATTAATTTTTATATTTATGTTAAGTTTTTCATCAAAATTAAAATTAATCTCTAGTGCTAGAAACCTTCATCAAATAATCTTTTACCTTTAAAATAAAAAGTAAAAAATTCACAAGAAAAAAAGATAGTAATGAATTTTTTTAGGCAAATATTTTCCTATATTATTTAATCCTAAGACAATATAGATGTCAGGATGATTTGACCATTATTTTAAATGGCTAGAATGAGAGTAGTATTAATATTCATGAATTCTGTCTCAAAATAAATTGACAATGAGAGGAGTAGTCCATGTCTTACTAACGATGAAAGATTTGGCAACGACGTCAAAGTTCGTCGTCGAAGGGTACTTTCGACAACGAAAATTGGTTTCGTCGCCGATAACACCACTTTTGGCGACGAAAGTCTATCGTAAGGTCCCTTTTTTTTCAATGTAGGATTAGCTAGAAATTGAACCTACGTATTTTTTTCTATTAATAGGTTTTTGGTTCATACCATATCAATATTCATGAGATTACATTAAAAATCAATTGACAAGTAACATGCTTAATAAATCTTTATTAGGTCTGTCATTTTCAACGTGGGATCCTTTAACAAACTTTAAAATTTTTTAAATCATTTTTTATTACCTAATTAGAAAAATGATTTTAATAAATTATAAACACTTTACTGTCTTAAAAATTGTCATAAACTCATCCTTAGCTTCTATATTTTAAAAATATAATAATTAATCAGTCAATGGCATTACAAATCTAGTTAGAGGAAGGAAAAAATAAAAAATAAAAAAAAACCAAGTTATATGAATAGACTAAAACAATTATCTCCCGTTTGATTTTGAATTTTGCAAAATCTATTTACTCTTTATTATTATTATTATTATTATTGTGTGTGTAAAAGTTATTGTTTTTTTAATAGAAAAAAAATACCTAATGTTACGGGTATTAAAGTAAAAGATTGAATCATTACAAATAAAAGAGAAAGTATATTTAACTTAAAAATAACTAAAAAAATTGACATGTTATATAAGAATAATATTGAATAACAAAAAAAAGTAATATACGGAAGTTATATGATAACTACGATGATACAAGATTTATATCCAGACCCCAACATTGAACGTTTCGACAAACACCTATACATACATCAGTGTTGAGCTACACGTTCGATCTAAGTTAGCAAAAGATTCCATTGAGAGCAGCAAATAGTAGAGTTTACCTCTTATTTATAGAGGAAGTTTCCTCATATTGATTTGAGTGGATCGATTCAATGTGCAAAAAATGTTTAGGTCTAGTAGAGTCAGGAAGTCCGATCATGATCGAATGACGATGTGATTTGGACGACTTGTCGTTTCTTTTGACTTCATTTCATGCATTATTTAGTTGGATACTTTCACTTCTAACAAAGTAGATATAAGATAAAATATAAGTAGCAAGAATGAATAAAAGAATGATATGGAGAATGCGTGGGATATTAAAAAGGAATGTTTGGCTAAAAAGAAAGTAGGAAAAATAGGAAAATAGGAAAATTAGGAAGAGATGGGAAGTGGAATACAGGTGGTGCGCCGACAAATGGATGATGAATTTGTGTACCTCTTGGATTACCTCAAGAGCTCAGAAAACAAAAACAAAAACAAATAATAATAATAATAAAAAAGAAATCTAACCAACCACATTTTAACTACTTCTCCGATCTAAAAAAAAAAAAAAAAACCTGATTTTGTATTTTCGTCTTCTTTTTCTTCCATTTCCTTTTTTACGTTCCAAAACTTTCCTAATTGATAATATAACACCGAATTAAAATTTTAAAATTTGGACCAAATTATTGTCATTAAGATGTTTATTTTCTCTACGAGAAAGAAGTCCTGCACTACTTAGGGGTGGGGATGTCTGTCTCCTTTCCGGCCCGACCCCATTCATATATATAACCCTAAGTATTTAATTTTTTTTCCATTTAAACGAAGATAATTTAACAAGCAAAATTTAAGATTAATCGATTAAACATTTAATTAAAATTTTCTTCCAAAAAATTTATTTAATCAATGAATTATTTTTAAATAATAATAATAAGTGAAAGAATTATTTTTCACGAAGAATTTGATCTCTAAGACCAGAGGTACGCTGGCTTATAAAAATGGAAATTGTATGATAGCTTATCTCTCTCCACTCTATTTTGTCTTGATCTTCCTGGACACCCTTAATTGTCATTATTTCTAGTTAATAGAGAAGAAA